GGCACAGGATTACTGCTGGGCCTGGTGCTTCCCTCCCCTGCTCTGCAGGGGGTTGGGTGGCCTGGCTTGAGGGCAAGGCAGGAGCCTGGGGCACATGTCAGCCCAGCAGGTATGGGTACTCCAGGAGGAGGCAGATTTGTCAGGGCCCGGGGGAGACTTCCACGAGTGGAGCAGAGTTGGGGAGGCATGTCTGGGGGCAGCCTACTTGAGGAGGCTGTTAACTAAGGGGTACTCCAAAGCACACTGGGCTCAAATTCTTTCTTCCCAGCCAGCCTGGAGCCCTGGCCACATTGACCCAGCAAGGCTACCAAGTTGGGAAGAGCCCACAGTCCAGAGGCCTACATCTCTTGGCCACAGAATGCCCTCTGAGCCTGATCCTCCAGGCTCTGGTCCCAGAAGGCCAGGGGCATTTGCTCAGGTGGCAGAGCCTGCCCATCTCCCTGCTGCCCATGGTGCCTGGCAGCAGAGGGGCAGCTTGGGGGACGTGCTATCTAGACAAGGCTGTTGGCCTGGTCTGGTCTAGGGGTGGTAGCACCAAGGGCCAGCCCTGGCCAAATGTGGGTCTTGCTCATGAGATGGAACAAATGCAGAGAATGCACAACCCCACATCATGCTTCCCCCTGGGCCCCAGCCTCTCAGCCACAGCCGGCGCATTTACTGCCGTGCGCAGCATGGGCTCTGGTTGCCCTAGCTCGTGTTCTTGGGCTGTTCACATACAGGCTACAGCTCAGCTTACGTGTGAGCATGCTATACCCCAAGCTGCTTCTAAAAACCACCTTTACCACATTGGCTGGCAGCCAACTGGAGAAGGAGGCCATTTCCTCATTGGACTTCATGCTCTGATGACATTTCTATCCACAGCCTAATATCTCTGTGGGATCTGGGTGGCCTGGCTGAAGTTTCTGGGAATGTGACCTACTGGTGAGAGCATAAACCTCAACCTGTAACTCTGAAATGCTGACTGGTGACACTTACGGGGAGCCTGGACATGGTGTCCTCCAGGCCAGAGAAGAGGCCTGGCGTCTTCTAAAGGGCGTGTCCCCTGTACCTTCTGCAGACATCTGTCCTGACTTGCTTGCTCTCTAGTGCATGTTTCCTCTTTCCCACAGTCTTGTTGAAAAGGCTTAATTGGTTTAATGTGTTTGCTTTGCAAAAGAATGTCAGCATCACTGCAAGACAGCCACTTAGTGACCTGGCAGTGACAAAACTAGCTGGGAGCAGGCAAGCTCTTCCTCTGGCCTGAGCCTTTTGAGGGGTCATGCTGAGCTCACTCCTGCTGCCACTTTCCTGGGCCATTTGGTACCGCTGCCCCAAGTGTGCCAGGGCCACAGAGTCCCATGTTCCCCAGACTGGAAAGCACACCCCCAGTGCCAGTGGGGGCCCATTATGCCTGATCCACGGGCAGAGCTTTCGGCCTGACCACAACAAGGTCAGATACGAGGTGCACAATGACAGTGCCACATACCACGTTCAAACTGGGAGATGAACGTTCCTGTTATTTCCTGTTCTCATCCAGAGCGCTTTCCCAGCTCCAGCCTTTCTAGAGACATGAGGCAAAGAATTTCTGTGGGAACAGAGATGACAGTGAGTCTGGGGACTGGTGATGGGCGGGGTGGGGGAAGGACCACCTCAGGGTAGCGGCGGAGCTTGTCTGGAGATGGAGGATAAGCTACACATTGGAGCTGCAGGAACAACTCTGCAGGGCAGTTTAGGGGAGGGGCTGGCAAATTACAGGCTAGAAATTCGGATTCCGGAGGTTTAAAGAGATTGTGGACTGTTCCAGTACAGGCCTCTCCATGGGGAGGAGCCATGGGCCGCCCCGGGGCAGCGTGGGCTTGCCCTGTTTCCCTCTGAGCAGAGCCTTCCTGGTGCTCGTAAAACAAATGCCTGCAAATACTTGAGGCCCGTTCCAAAGTGGAACACAGTCTCCATTTAGTACCTGACCAGAAGTATCAAAACTGAAGTGTTTCTATTTTAGAAACTGGGGGGGCAGAACATATTTTAGTGTCTTCTAGGAAGGTCTGTGGAGGATAAAATCACAGAAGCTGAGCGGACAGGGTTCATCTGTAGTCCTATCTGTCTTGTGATTAGCTCATTATGCATGACACTGTGTAGGTCATGTACGGTGTACAGACCACAGTCCTGTATATGGATTTTTAAAAGTTGCCCTGGATTGAACTGAATAAACAAGCTACACACTGCTCTTTCTGTCTGGGTGGAATGCTGTGATAGCTGCTGGTCCTTCCCTGGTGTCTGCTGCATCCTGGATCCTTAAGCCCCTCCTGCTTCCTCCTATTTGGTGATCACCGCCAGTGTCCTAATAGGCTTCCCAGGTCAGAGACTTCTCTGGAATAGACAGACAGGGGACTTGGACCCAGTCGTGCCACAAGGCTCCCACCTAGTGGGGCCCTTCTGCCTGGCAGCTTCCCTTCCCTTTCCAGAAACACCGCAAGGGGCAGCCCCAGGTATAGCTGAGTGCCAGCAGAGCAATCTGGACAGGGTCAGCTTGAAGTCCCCCGGAGAGGAGCCACTGAAGCGCTGGTCCCTCTGGGCTTTCTCCAACCCCAGGAACCTGTGGCTCTGGGCTGAGGCAGGTGTCCAGCTGGGCAGCAGTAATGCAGAGCCCTCCCTTGGCCTGGTGGCACTCACAAAGAAGCTCCCAGATTTTCTGTTTTGTAATAGTTGCCCAATGAGGTAGAGGCCCTTCTAGGAAAGAATTTCTGTCCATTATTAATTTTCTGGCACTTTAAGCCAGACAGTCCTAGGAATTAGGCAGGCAAAGCAGGTGACACCACTATAGGGAAAGTTCTGCCAATACAGGGGGCCAGACTGCCTCTGCAGCCCGGAGGGAGGACTCCTCAGGCCCCGTGGCACCAAAGGCCTGGGCTCTGGACAGAGCTCAGGGGCAGCAAACTGACTCTGTAGACCATTTCCCCAGCAAGCCTAGCAAGCCCGTGGCCAGGCCCACTTACCGTTCAGCTGACCTGCTGAGAGACACTCACTCCTGACTCAGATGCTTCCAGAAGGTTGAGGGGTAGCGTCCACAGAGCCCTGGACAGGGCCCAGCAGGGTAAGGTGGGACTGGACTGAGCCTAGACTCCGCTCTAGGCCCATTTAAAACATGCAGACAGGTACAGGCAGTTTCTGCACAAGTCTCAGCAGAAATAACCAAGGGTCCTCCCTGGACTGAGCTCAGCCCCCCCGTTAGGACCAACCTGGGCCTCACTCCCCAACCCTGTGAACAGGAACCAGCCCCAAGTTTCCTCAGTGCAGGCTGAGGAATGCCAGTAGACTCCCCCAACTTACTCTGGAAGAGGGCGCTGCAGGAACCCCCCTTGGACTGGATGCTTCCGTATTAGTATCTTCCCATACAGCCTTCTAGTCTGAGACTGTAAGAGCATTAGCACAGACAAGCATCCGGTGCTGAAGGAAAGCAGGAAAGCTACCTAAAATACGGGGTGAAGCAGACGTTGTGCCCCAGGCTGTGGCTGCTGGGATCAGCCCTTCAGAAACACAGGACAGCAGTTGCACTGGTGCCCAAGAGCAGCTCTGGAGGAAGCACCCAGCCTGGCCCCACCCCATGGGCAGTGGGTGCTTAGGTGAGACGGTGAGCACCTGGGGCCTGACGGTCTCCACATAGCACAGTGGTTCTCAACCTTGGCTGCACATGAGAATCACCTGGGAATCTTTAAAATCCTGATTTCTGGGCCTCATCATTAGTAACAAAGATACAGAATTTCCGGAGGATGAGAAGAAGCTGTCCTCCACCCTCCTACTGAGTGAGCTGACCCGGGAAACAGCAGTTAAGGCATCTGGGAGCTCACCGACCCCCACCCAGTAGCCACTAGATGCCCACACAGCCTGTCCACTGGGTCTTCACAGCATTCTCCAGAGCAAGCAAGTGGCTCAGCAACTATGACACCACTTCATGGGCAGTGCGGTGGCCAGTGCCTCCCCCAGCCTGCCTGCTCTCAAAAGCTCCAGAGTGACTATGAAGACCAGTGCCGACCATGAAACTTTCCAGGCTGGGGCACTGGTCCTTCAAGTCTGGCTCCCAGCATGGGGCGGGTGAGCTGAATGGAGCTGAGTGTATTTTGTCACATAAGCAACAGGAGAGAGGGTTGGCCATGCAGACCCAGGGAACATTGCCATCTCCCTCCACCTCCACAGCCTGCACGCCCGGCCACAGGTGCACAGGGGCAGCCACCCATCGAGGTGAGCACCACACACAGCACCAGCCAGTGAACCACCTTGTACTATCCTGGGAGCTGAAGAGACCTTCCCCACTTTTTAACATCATTACGTGGGCGGAGGTGGGTTGGGCTATGAGGAAAATCTGGGAGCTTCCTCATGAGTGCCACCAGGCCGAGGGAGGGCTCTGCATTACTGCTGCCCAGCTGGACACCAGCCGGCCCGCCCTGTATTTTAGGTTCCTGCTTTCCTATGTGTGGGCTAAATCTCTCAGGAGATTTCCCTCTCCTTGCTGCATCCTGCACCCCAAGTCTGGGTCAAGCATGACCCAGGCAGAGCCTGACTCAGAAACTGTCACCAGCTCTGAAATCTGACACAGTAATAGCCTCAGATCTTCTACCAATCCATCTCTGATCTGGCACGCTACCCAAATGGAGGGACTACAGGGTGGGGCACCGGGAAACCTCGCTGAGACAAATGGATAAAGGAGAAAATGGTTTTAAGTGATTCCAAAGTTTTTAAAACTCAAATTATGCCACTTCGTCAAACTGTGACAAATTAACCCAAACAAGTGGCCATAGTGCAGCTCAAAGGGGACTGACCTGAGACACATCCCCATCAAAACCAGTTCCCGGCAGGGTTCATGCTGCCATGGCGTCAGGGTGTCAGCAGTCTTCGCTGAAAAACCTAATGAGCTGGGAAGGAAGACACTTGTGCTGGGCTCCCCCTTCAAGCCTGGCAAAGGGTCAAGTCTGGAGCCGGCACCCCGGGCCAGGCCCAGTGCCAGCTCCTGTCCCCAGGAAGGCGGCTCACATGGGTCTCCCCTGAAAGGAGAGAGAGATTTGCAGGAGCTCCTGCCCAAGTTCTTGCTGCCTCCCACCAGGACAGAATTCGGCCGACAGCTCCCTGAAGGTGGCACACACACGGCGGGCCTCGACGTGTCTGCGGTGGATGGCATGCTTCCACTGGTGCCGTGCGGCTCCGGTGAGCACAAGCAGAGAGCAGCGGGGTAAGGGGACAGCCACCTCCACCTCCTGGCACAGGACGGACCTACTAGGGGCCATCACACCTTCCAGAGCTTCCGGGAAGCCGGATGGGGCCAGGCAGAGCAGTAGGCTGCCAGGCGCCTCCCGGGACATGGACAGCACGGTGGGGGACAGGAGGTTGAGGCTCACTAGCCGCTCCCCCCACAGCCAGGTGTCATCCAGGTGGGGATCGATGGCTGAGCCCCGTTCTGGGCAGTAGTCCAGGTTACACTGCTCCACGGGCCGGAAGTCCTCCAGGATGGGGTAGAGGCCCATTCTCCGCACTATCTCCCGGCTGAAGCTGGGGAGGCCTTGGAAGCCAGCAGTCTTGAGCTTTTGTTTCCGAAAGTTGACTTTGGGACCATAGTCCTAAAGTATGAGGACAAAAAGGAAGTAGAGAAATGTCTGAGTTTACAGAAATGTTATCACACACTAGGTCTAAAGAATTCAATCACAGTGACCAAAAAAAGAAAAATGTCTGACTTCACGGGTCTGACATTCCAGTAGGAAGAGGCCAACACCACAAAGATATACATAAACAGGAGACATCAGATGGCTGTAAATGCTAAGGGAAATAATAATGCAGGGAAGGGGATACGAAGTGTTGGGGACGTCTTAGCCCAGGTACCCGAGAAAGCAGAGCTAGAGACAAAAGGCCCCTGTGCGGGTAGTGCATCCAGGCGGTGATACCGAGAAGTTGAGAACTGGGACGAATGAGCAGCAAGGGAGGGAAGGCCCATAAGGCAGCATTAGCAAGGCGGGAGCACCGGGGCTCAGAGCCACAAGGAAGAACAATTATCACGTAACATGGCAGGTCTACCTGGTATATACCTAAGTGAATTGAAAACAGGTCCACACAGAAATATGAATGTTCACAGCAGCACTATTCACAATGGCCAAAAACTAGAAACAACCCAAGTGTTTACCAGCAGATGAATGGACAAACTAATGGGAATATATCCATACAATGGAATAGTTTAGTCATAAAAGGCAGTAAAGCACGGGTATATGCTGCAAAATGATGAGCCCTGAAAACATTAAGCTAAGTGAGACACCAGACACAAAAGGTCACATATTGTATAATCCCATTTACTAGTACATGAAATGTCCAGAATAGCCAAACCCACAGAGACAGAAAAAGTAGATTAGTGGTTGCCAGGGGACAGGGGAATAGGGAGGGACTGCTAATGAGTATGGGTTTCCTTTGGGGGGATAAAAATGTTCCAGAACTAGATAGTGGTAATGGTTGCACTACTTTGCCATTGTGACTATACTAAAAACCAATCCACTGAATTGTACATTTTAGTTTTTATGTATTTTTATTGATTTCAGAGAGGAAAGGAGAGGGAGAGAGAGATAGAAACATCAATGATGAGAGAGAATCATTGATTGGCTACCTCCTGCACACCCCCAACTGGGAATTGAGCCCACAACCCGGCCATATGCCCTTGACCAGAATCCAACTCAGGAACCTTCAGTTCACAGGCCAATGCTCTATCCACTGACCCAAACCAGCGAGAGCTGAATTGTACATTTTAAATGGGTGAATTTTATGGTATGTGGCTTTTATCGAGGAAAAAAAAAAAGGAGGAACAGTCTATAATACGCCTCAGATTTTTGCCTGAGGTATGGAAGAGGGAAGCATTTATTTGCTGACTCCTGCCCTCTCTGGTTCCCCTCCAGTGGAGGGTGGCTCCATCTGGTGGAACTCCTCCTTCCAGGCTGAGCATGTCTGAGTGCCTGGGTGAGCGGCTCCTGTAGGGCATCGCTAGGAGCAGCAGGCAGAGAGCCTGACATGGGAGTGCAGCGGACAGGAACGAGGAGCTGGAGCCTTTGAGGAAGCTGGAGTGACTGCTATGCCTGACACCAGAGAGCAGCAGTGAAAACAAAGGCTGGCTGACCAACAGCGTGCAGAGCTTCCAGAGCACTGTAAGGACTTTGTGTTTAAGTTGGGAGGCCCAGAGGGTTTGTAACAAAGTAGTGACAGGATCTGATGAGGTGTTACTGGAGTTACTTTCCTCTCTATTGAAAACTGACTGAAGAGGGGTCAGGGCTGCCCCAGGAACCCCCTGGGATGCATGTGTTGGCAGTGGTGGGGAGGGTGTTCTCAGTTTCAGATAGGTTTTGAAGGAAGAATGAACTGACAGGAATTAATGAGAAAGAGAGAAACCTGGAGAGATCCACGATTCCAGCCTGCACAGGTGGAAGATGGAATGCCATGATGGGGACATGCAGGGGGCCTGGGTATGGGCAAACAGCCAAAGCTCAGTTTAGGGTCTGACAACTAGAAGCCTGGGCTGGAGACATGAACATGGGAGTCCAAAATACAGTGACAGTGTGTAGGGCCATGACTCACTAAGATCAGCAAGGGGATGTCTGGAGCAGGAAGAAAAGAGGCCCAAGGACTGAGCCCTGAGAACCCGTTGCTGGGTTTAGAGCATGGAGGTGAGGGATGGAAGCGGTTTTTGAGTGGGTTAAGCAGGAACGGGAGGAGAGGAATCAAAAACATTGAGAACAAACAACTCTTGAGGAATTCTGTTGCAGAGAAATGGAGCTTACTGGGAGCTGGGGGAAAAGATCCAGTTGAGACAAAATTCATCTTGGGGAGAAAGGGGAACAATGCTGAACAAGATCTTCTGAGTAGAAGGGACCAGCACACAGCTGGAGGGGGCCTTGGAGAAGCCCTGGGCACAGGTGAGAAGAGAACGGCACCCACACATGGCAGGCACGTGTGCAGATATGTCTCTTTTCTAAGAGAGGCAAGGTCATCAATGGAAGGGAAAAGAGGTTTGGAAGAACAGCAGCAAAGTGATGACCTGGGGGAGGTAGGTATGACTGCAGGAGCAAGAAGGGCCCAGAGCGGGGAGACCTGACTGCAGGCTGCACATGGGTGCGAGGGAGAGGGAAGCTGGACTTGACCAGGGCTGTAGTTGAGCAGGAAGAGTATGATGAAGCAAACACAAAAAGTCGAGGGGCACCCAAGGAAATAACTATAACTGGCTGTAGTTCAGGGAAAGGAGAGATGATGGGAGGGGAAAAGTGAAAAGGTGGCCAGATGCCTGGCCAGTGTGGTTTAGTGGTTGAGCATCGACCTATGAACCAGGAGATCATGGTTCAATTCCTGGTCAGGGCACATGCCCAGGTTGTGGGCTCGATCCCCAGTAGAGGGTGTGCAGAAGGCAGCCAATCGATTATTCTCTCATCATGGATGTGTCTTTCTCTCTTCCTCTCCCTTCCTCCCTGAAATCAATAAAAATATATTGAAAACAAACAAACAAGCAAACAGGTGGCCGGATGGATGGTTCACGGTTCTGGTGGGGGCAAGGATTGCTGGAGATGAGGAATGGAAGAAGTGACCCAGACAGAGAGGAGTGGGACTGAGGAAGAGGGGGCTGAGATCCTGGACAAAGAAGGTCTGGGACCTGGAGGCCCAAAAATACATGAAACTGGCAGGGAGAGAACTTAGAGAGAAGAAGGCATCTGGCACCCTTCAAGGAACCCTCCCTGACAGTCACCAGCACGAGGACAGCTGGGCGAGAGCAGAAAGAGCTGGGGGTCCATCTTCCTTAGAGTCCTGGCTCACGGCATTCTCCTGGGAAGGTGGGCAGGCCAAGTAAGCTGGGCATATCCCTGGTATGGCTTAAGAGGAGGGCACTGAGCAGGAGGTGAGCCAAAGGGCCCAGCAAAGTCACTGTCCTCTCTGACAGGCCCGACCCTCCTCCCTAGCTCTGGGCCAACCTACCTGCTTCCTGCGTCCAGACTGTGAGAGTTTCCAAGGCTCACGGTCCATCAGCTGCACCATCTCAGCTTCTTCCTCTCGGGTCACGAAGTCCTCTATCAGTGTCACGCCAGGGAAGGGGAAGGCCCAGCCTTCAAAGTCAGACTCCTCAGCCCCCACAGCCCAGCCAGTGTCCGAATAGTAAATGAAACGATGTGTTTTCTATAAAAGAAAGACAGGGGTCTTGGAGCCACTGGAGCGTGCCCTCCTGGAGGGCCTCTTGGGAGCTGCCCCTGCCCAATGGTTCATCCTCCCCTGAAGCCACTTTGGAAGGCAGCTAAAGCCTAGAGGGGGGCCAAACCCCTGCTTGGGGCTGCCTCCTGGGAAAGACCCTCACTTTCCTCATCCATAAAAGGAAAGAGCATCTGCATAACCATTTTTTTGTTGTTGTTCTCCATTTTATAGATGAGATGACCAAGGTTCAGCAAAATTAAGGAACTAGCCAGAGGCTGGGGATCAGCCTGCGAGTCCAGTTTCTGGGCCACTGTAGGGTATCTTCTGTCCTCAGCCTTGTGAGAATGAAAGGAGAAGATGGTGTGAAAAGATCCAGCCCAGACCAGAAGTTTGAGAAATATGCTATCCCTAAAGCTGGGGTCCTGGGGCCGTCCCGGGGTGAGCAGCACATGCTGGAAGGCCAGAGGGGAGAAGCCCTCTACAGTCCAGGTGGGGGTGTCTTTGGGCTCTGCCCTCTTTTGTGGCAGCCAGAGGCACTGCCTGAATTTCCCTTTAAAAAAGAACAGAACTTGCCAGCCATTGAGAGGACAGCTGGGCGGACAATCTCCTGCTCTAGTGCCTCCGGGACCTGCCTCGGTTTCTGAGCAGAGGCCATCTTCATCCCGGGCAGCTTCCAGCCAGTGACCCAGCATGGACCTGGCCATTTCTGCCCAACATGGGCTTCCTCTCATGGGCAGTCTTTGCTCTGGAGCTCCCCACTGGGCTGACCATGATTTTATCAGATCTACGTCAGTCTGAGGTCCTCCCTAACCAATCAATTCTGCTTCCTCCCCCTTTATGTTCCCTAGGCATTGCTACCACCCCATCTTGAACCACCATGTCCTCTGTCTCTGGCGCCTCATATGGGACATGTTAAAAGTGGGAATCATCCTAGACATCTTGCTCATCCCCCAGCCATCATGCTGGGAAGATGCTACCCCCAGAGTGTCAGTTCCGGACATAGTTCAGACCTTTGGTGCTTTCTAAAAAAAGTTTTGTGGTAATCCTATCTAATAAAAGAGAAACATGGTAATTAGCCGTACCTCCGCTACCCTTCCCATTGGCTAATCAGGGCGATATGCAAATTAACTGCCAGCCAAGATGGCGGCCGGCAGCCAGGCAGCTTGAAGCGAACATGAGGCTTGCTTACTTCAGTGACGGAGGAAGCCAACGTTCCCC